CCACTTTTACAGGCCTACTCCTCTGTCGGTTTCGGCACACCACAACCGACTAATTCCAACTAAGGGATATGTTATTATATGCTATGTTTCCATATACGGCTATATTGCCACGACCACAAATATATATATATATATATATATATATATATATATATATATATATATATATATATATAAATATATTAGGTCTTGAAATAAGTCTGTATAGACTGAAACGTCGACTATTGTGTTAATCACTGTGTTTGCTTAATAAAGCAGAAGTTTGAATTTACTTTACCAAGACTCCAAAGTGCTCTCTACTAGGGGTATATATATATATATATATATATTTGTGTTAGGTGCTTATGATAGTACAGTGTGAAATACCATCAATAAATGTAGGATAATAAAAAGAGCAAGTCGGCTGTGGTGTGCCAGAACCGACGATGAGGTAGGCCTGAGAAAGAAGAGGGCCTACCCAGGGAAAGAAAAATAGAAAGAAAGAAATGTTAAAATGTGGTGTGGTGGGAGGGTCATTCAACGCTGACCTCGAACGGTAAGGAGCAAGGTAAGGGTAGTGCCTTAAGTAGGCCTGGGGGTAGCAAACCAGCACCTCCCACAAATCCAGGCAAAATTGCCTTAATACTTGTGTTAGGTGCTTATGATAGTACAGTGTGAAATACCATCATTAAATGTAGGATAATAAAAAGAGCAACTCGGTTGTGGTGTGCCGGAACCGACGATGAGGTAGGCCTGATAAAAAGAAGAGGGCAAAAATTAAGTAATCAAATTTATTACAGACAACCAATGCATATACATTTTATCAACCAGACATGTTTTTGAAAGCATCCCTTAATTCTTGTACTGGGTTCAGTATGTACCGTGAGTAAGCGGATGACTTCCAGCGCCCCAGTGTTTTGATAACATGAGTTGGGATGTTGACACTGGAGGCTGTGGACGCGGCTCCTATACGAAAGGAGTGCCCTGAGTATTTGGCTGCGTTGAGGCCCAGTTGTGTGAGCAAGGACCTGACGTAGGTCATGAAGGTTGTAGTGGTGAGTACTGCACCTTGTAGCTGTAGTAGTGGTTGTGAGGGCAGTAAGTTATGATGCTGTATGTAGGCATCAAGAACCCTGAGGGGACACCATCTGTTGTGCGTGGGATAGTACGGAATGTTTACGGGTATGTGCTGACTGGTTTTGGAGTGAGGTAAAGTCAGGATGTAATGATCCATATGTTTTGTCAAGTGGGAATAGAGGAGGAAAGGAGTACTTTGGGTCGTGGAGGTGGTAGTGAATTCTCTAGGTCTTAGAAATCCATAGAAAGCTATGTATATTGCTGTTTTGATGATAGAATGTGTATTGGTGTCAAACAGTTGTAAGTCAAGCAGGTTAGACAATGCTTTAAAGATATGGTTATCTATGGGTAGCCTCTGGGCTGTATGTGTGGGTTCTGATTTCTGAATACCTCTGAGTATGGTCTTAATTTGGTGAGAGGCCATGAAACTGTTGTTATTTGGGTGTAAGATTAGCATGTGGTGTTGAATGCCAGTGAGATAGAGTTTGATGGTGTCATATGACATTTTATGTTTAAGGTGGCAAAAGGAAGCAAACCCCAAAAAAGATGTCATAACAAATGGTTGCATGATGTTATGTTCCAGAAGAAATCTTTTGAATAGCATGAAAGCCCTGTTGTATGTTTTGTGTGTATTGTATGAAAGTGCCAATTGGGACAGTGTCCTGCTATGCTGCATGATAGTTTCTAGTCCAGTATGAGTTGTTGAAATGTTGGAGTGATGGTGGCTGTGGGCGCAGCTGACGGGAGTGCTTGATGAAACGCCTGAAATTTAAAGCGAGACAAATTGTCAGCAGCTGTGTTACATACACCTGGAACATGGAAACAATATAGGAAAAAATTATGACAAGCTGCCAACCAAGTGAGTTTCCTCAGAAATCTCATGATTGTAAGGGATTTGGAACGACCTTTGTTGATGATGTGACAGGTTGCCTGGTTGTCTGAGTAACAACGCACTGGCATATTAGCCCATAAATGACCCCATGCTACGGCAGCCGCCACGATGGCATAGGTCTCAAAAGGAGCAAAGGTAGTGGAGAAACCTTCCAAATCCTGAACTGCTGAAGGCCAGCTGCCCCAAAGCCATTTGTTCCCAAAAATTGCTGCAAAACCAGTGGTAGATGCTGCATCTGACCAAATGATAGGAGATGAGTCAGTCAATTGAGGGAGGAACATACTTTTACCATTCCAAGTGGTTAAAAATCTCTTCCACATGTTTAGATCTGCCGTAGCTTGGGTATCTAAGGACAACCTGTGCGTGTCATGTAGGAAATGTGGGAAAAGATGCAATAGTCGTGATATAAAGGAGCGGCCTTGAGGTATTATGCGCATAGCAAAAATGACCCCAGCAGGGACTGTAGCTTTTTGCGGTTGCAAGTACCGAGCTGAAGGTAGCTGTTTATGTAAGTGAGAATATTCTTTATCTTATCGTGTGGTAGGCTCGTTTGCATTGTGGCAGAGTCTAGTTGGATACCCAGAAAAGTGATAACCGTGTCTGGCCCCTCTGTTTTCTTTGGGGAGACAGGTACACCTAGTTGCTCAAATAGCTTAGTGGTAGCTTTGAGACTAGTAGGAGGTAAAGTATTCTCCTCGATCAGTAGGAAATCATCCAGGTAATGTAATACTGTAGGGCATCTGGCTATGTTCAATAGTAACCAGCATAATGCTTCGGCAAATGTGTCGAAAATAGCTGGGCTACTTTTGGACCCAAAAGTTAACCAGGAGAAAAAAAATGTAGTTCCCGGACCACTTGATGCTATGCAGGTGCCACAGTGTGGGGTGGATTTGTAGTAATTTAAAGGCCTTATTAATGTCGGTCTTACAGAGCCAGGCTCCAACACCTGCGTGTATGATATCGGTAATGGCGTGATCTATGGTGGTGTATTGCAGAGAGAATTCCTAAGAGGGTATGAGGGAATTAAGACTGGGGTTGGCCGATGAGTGGGGTGCCGATAAGTCAATGATGAGTCTCTGTTTTTGGGAAGATTTCCCTGTGACAATACCAATGGGGTTGGTGCGCCATTCTATGAATGGAGGAGTTTTGAAAGGCCCCCATACGAAACCCTCATCTACTTCTTGGGCTATGAGGGTGTCAACCGCTGTGGGGTTGTGTTGGGCGGATTGTAGATTAGGGCATTCCAGAGTTCCGGCTGGTATGTGTAGGAAGCCTTCTGTTAAACCAGAGATGAGAAAGTCTACTAGGTGTCTAGATGGGTGCTGAGACATAAATGCCGTGAATACTGGCATATTAATGGATGTTAGGTAAGGCTTGGAATACATTTTATTTGGACACATGGTCTTTGCATGTGCCCTAAAACATTTTGAACAGACATGCAATAGTCTACATCCACTGTAATTACAAGACCCAACATTGAAATTATTACATATCTGGGACTTGCCCAGAAACTTGATTGGGCATCCCAGTTTGGCTCTTGACAACTTCTCTGGAACCCCAGAGGAACTAGCTCCTTGCGTGGAGGCATGTTCGTCCGCCGTGTTGGGATAAAAAAATTGTAGTATGGGCTGTGGAGGAGCAGTATGCACAAGCTGGTGTTCTTAGACCTGCAAAGTGTCTGCAAAAAATGACAGTATCAATCCTTCCCCAGTTGGATTGTGTTCCATACTGGGAGAAGGCTCCAGACACTTTTGCAGAAAAAGACCTATGGTAGTCATAGAAGGCGGAACCACCATATTTGTTGCCCAGGTCTACCAGCTTTTGCATAAAGAGATCAAACTCCTCTCTTCTCTTGGGATAGACCGCACAGATGACATCCCTGTAAATACCAAAAGCTAGTACAAATTCAGGGATAGTCAGTTTCCTGTTCAGGCAGGCATCCCTAGATCTGACAACAACAGATACATCATCATAAGCATACGTCTTATTCTCAACAATATCCTGGGAGACAATCAACAGGGAAGCCAAGTTGACGTCTTTACCTTCCAGGATACCCCCTTTTTATGTGCTCAGGTATCATATGAGCCGGGCTAACTTCCTGGTCATCCAGGGTGATGGCTGGAGCAACTAATGACAAGTCGGCTGGTGCTTGTGAAGCAGCAGCGGGTGGCCCTGCTAGAGTAAGGGCCGTGGTGACCGACTCAAGTTTCTCCAGCCTGGAGTTGACCTTGCTCATGGACGCCATGAATGAGGATAACATGGCATGTATGTCTCCTGGGTTAACATATACATATTTATATCAAAATACACTTAGAATTAAATTATATATATACATATATATCTATGTATAAAAAAAAATAAATAAAAGTAATACGAAATATACATATGTCCATATACATAATTACATAAATCATTTCATAAATATACACGTAGACTTCAAATATATAAATATGTATATATATTTAAATTTTATGTGCATATTTATGTAATATTATTACATAATTAAGTAATTTTATTGATTGCAATTTAAGGGACATGCCTGAGAACCCAGGCCGAAAGTCCAGAGAATTTAATTTGCTAGCACTATGTTTAACCCTGTAACTTTCTATGACACCCTAAAACCTGTACATGGGAGGTACTTTTTTACCCGGGAGACTTCGCTAAACACAAAAATTAGTGTTAAAAGTGGTAGAACATACCACAGCGATGATATGGTCAGTGAAAGTGAAGTTGCATTTTTCACACACAAATGGCACTTTCACTGATGATATTATTGCTGTGATAAGTTTTACTGTTCTGAAACACTATTATTTGTGTTCAGAAAAGTCTCCTGAGTATAACAGTACCCCACATGTAGAGGTTTTAATGTGCTTTTGAAAGTTACAGGGTCAAATATAATTTTTTTTTCATTGAAATTTGTCAGATTGGTAAAGTTGCCTTTGAGAGTATATGGTAGCCCAGGAATTAGAATTACCCCCATAATGGCATACCATTTGCAAAAGAAGACAACCTGAGGTATTGCAAATGGGGTATGTTCAGCATTTTTTATTAGTCACAAACACTGGCCAAAGTTAGCATTTTTAACATACAAACAAATATAAATGCTAACTTTGGCCAGTGTTTGTGACTAAGTGGCTACTAAAAAACACTGGCCATACCCCATATTAAATACCCTGGGTTGTCTACTTTAAAAAAAAAAAAAAAAAAAAGGTACATGTGGGGTGTGATTCGGGGATTTATGACAGATAACAGTATTACAATGTCACTATTGATAAATGTAAAAAATATATATATTGAAAGAGCAATTTCCTACTTGTACTTATAGCCCTATAACTTGCAAAGAAAGCATGTAAACACTGGGTGTTTTTAACCCCTTAAGGACAGAGCTTCAAAAGCTTGTCTTTCACTTAATGACAACAGCATTTTTTAAATTTTTTGCTGTTTGCGTTCAACTGCAATTTGCATTTTACTAATTTGTTGCACCAACACATATTATACATCGTTTTTTTAAAGAACAGAAAGGGCTTTAATTTGATGTAACACACATATATATATAAATGCTTATTTATTATAAAAAAACACAGAAAAATGTTTTTGCAGTAATAATGTGTGCATAATTAGTGCAGGTTAAGAAAAGTAATTAAAAATAAATTAATTTAGTAGTTCTGATTTACAGAATATATAATGTGTCTGGGATTTTAAGTTTTTTTTGGTAGTTACAGGTCACAAAGCACAAGGAGTAAAATAGACTTTTAATGTGGAGCGATTTTAGAATTTGGTATGTTTGTCTTGTAAGCTTAATAGCCATAAAAGAAAACAAAATTGCCACACAAAAGTATATATTTATATAAAATAGACATCACGGGCTATTTACCTAAGGTTGTTTTGACACTTTCTATGTAGCCATTTCACCGCCAACCTCTGCTAAATATTGGAGTAAAATTGTGTTTTTTTTGGTTTTTGGCACACAAACTTATAACAAAGAAATGATTGTGTATATTTTGTAAAGTTGCTGTGTGCTATTCCTGTACAAAGTTTTATTTTATGTTCAGTTACATCTGCTGAGTAAAATGACACTCCCATTGTATGTCTTTGGCACTATTTTGTGAAGTTACAGTGCCATACAGGATACCTGTCCTTTTTCAGTATTCACAGTAGAATTTTGAGAGATGGATTTAATGAGCCTTAGCTTCCATTTGGGGTATTATACCAGTTTGACTGTTCAAAAAACCTCCACAAAGGCCTACCATTTGTAAAGGTAGAACTCCAGTGTATCTCATAAGGTGCATATTGTGCCTTAACATGCCATCATTTTTTCACCAATATATGCCAAAGTATGTGGTAAAACATAATTTTGTGCATTTTTTACATACGGATTGCATTTTTGCTGGGCGTTTTGTATATTTCATATGCGCCACTAAGTTCAAACCTCCCAAATTATGCTCAGCTAAGTCTTCTGAGTAAAAAGACACCCCCAATGAATGTCTTTGGCACTATTTCGTGAAGCTACAGTGCCATATAGGAGACAAAGCCATATCCGTTTTTACCAAACTTTGAATTTTGACGCTGGGCCTATGTGCAATTTCCAAGCATCTTTGCAGGTTTTAAATTCAAACTACCCCACAAAGGCCTACCATTTCTTAAAGTAGACACCCCAAGGTGTTTCAAAAGGTATATTTTGAACCTTTCTGCCTTTTTGACATACAAAGTGAGTTTGCGCAGCATATTTTGCAAACCTTATGTGTGCTATGACTGTATAATACTTCATATGTTGCTCAGCTATGTCGGCTGAGTACAGCAATACCCCCGTATGTACCTTTGCCAGGTATATGTGGACGTTGAAGGGGCGCATTTGAGATGCAGGCATTCAGTTTTTTCTAACTTTGAAGTTTTACGCTGTGTCCATGTTCCAATTTGGAGTTGTTTAGGCGGCTGGTTATGGAAACTTCCCCACAAACACATACTATTTATTAAAGAATACACTCTGGGGTAATTCAAAAGGCATATTTTGAACCTTGGCGTGGGATAATTTTTTTCTCTAGTTTGTTCCAGGTGTAGTGGTAATGAGCGTTTTTAAAATGTATTTTTTTACTTTTTTAACTTTTTTACTTTTAAAAACTAGTTTTTAAACTTTTGTTTTGCTTATTAATTTTTTTTAAACTTTCCTAAACTTTCTTAAAACTTTTTTACAGATTTAACATTTTTCTAAGCTTTTTTTTTTTACCGTTAACCCCTAACTAGCAGTAAGCAGCACTAACAGTAAATTCCCCATTTTCCCATAACTCCCACCCACCCCAGGTAGCAAAATATATAGTTATAAAATATTTAAATTAATTAAATAAATTGAACCCCTGAGGGTTAAAAAATAAATAAAAGTTAATCCTCAGGGGTTAAAAAAAAAATAGATCACAGTATGATACTGTGATCTGTATTTGATCGCTGTAGGCAGTGATCGACTGGCAGGGAAGGGGTTAATTTTTATTTGGACTAGGTAGAGGGGGTGTTTTTTATTTTTTACGTAAACGTTATTAAAACTTTTTTTAAGCTTAATTTTTAACTTTTTAAAGTTTATTTTAAAACTTTTTTTAACGTTAACCCCTAGTTAGCTTAACGCCAAATCCCCCAATTCCCCACTAACTTCCACCCACCCCAGCTAGCTAAATATATAATTCTAAAATATTTTAATTAATGTACTTCAATGGATTGAACCGTATTATGTTTTTTATTCATGTGTTATTGTATATAATACTGCCTAATAAATACATTTTGTTTTAAAACATATCGCTTATTGTCCTGGTCATTTTTTTATTTTTTTGCCTTCTTATTATCTATAAAAAATGTTTCCTCTATTATGTAAAATATGGTCAAAATAGGGGTGTGGGGGCCAAAACATGTTCTAGTTATCTTAAATACGCATAGGGCTTGTTTTTTTTTTTTAAAGCGCTCCTAGCCCCTAAAAAACATGCCCAAACATGTCCTACTTGTCTGTAAATATGCATAGGGCTTGGTTTACATTGTTTGTTTTAAAGCGCTCCTATCCCCTAAAACATGCCCAAACATGTCCTACTTGTCTGTAAATATGCATAGGGCTTGGTTTACAATGCGCATGCACTGCGTTTCTTGGTTCAGAGGGGGGCGCTCATACGCAGGGGGTGCGCACGCTGTGGGTGTGGTGGCGCATCAGGGGTCGTGTTTCAAAGGTTCGCGCATGCGCCGTGGTCGCTCCAGCATTGGGCGTGGCGACACATATGTTGTGGGTGTGGCTTCATGGGCGGGGCTGGTCGCTCCATCACTGGGCGTGGCAACACAGCTGTTCAGGGTGTGACTTTATGGGGAAAGGGGCGGGGCACCTGTCAAATTCTAGTTTGATGACTTATATATCTCCCCTCTACTAACATCTTAACAGCTGTTCTTCCTCATTAATATTTACATTAGGTGGTTTATAACATTTCCCAACCAATAATTGGTTTCCCTTTGTATGCCCCAAGCAGATATCTACCCATAAAGCTTCACATTTTCCATGTCACACTTCACATGCCTAAGATTTGACTTTAACTTATGGTTGACATACAAACATACCCCACCACCCTTCTTGTTTTTCCTATCCTTCCTAAATGACATTTTCCCCTTTTAAGTCAACTGCCCAGTCATGTGTCTCATCCCACCATGTTTCTGTTATGCCTATTATATCATATTGTTTAATGTATGCTATTGCCTCTAGTTCCCCCATTTTGTTATTTAGGCTGCTTGCATTAGTAAGCATACATTTCATATTGTCATTATTATCATTTGTACTTTTTGAGAATTTTTATCAATATTACATAGCTCCTCTGTTCTGAGCTTGCCCCTCATCCCATCTTCTCCCCGTTGTACTGAGCTAAAGCCCATCTTCTTTCTGTCCTATCTCATATTTATAAAAAGTTTTACACTTTTTGTTTTGTGATACTTTTATGTTATTTTTTTTTTTTTTTTATACGTTTAGGATGTCATATGTATAATAAAAATAGTAAAGAATAAAATAGCAAGCAACCTGCAAAGTCCCATTGAAGATGGCTAATTTAAGCAAGAGATGAAGTAAGGGTTGACAAACAAACAAACTAGGCAACAGATTGGTGGATCTCAGCTCACAGATACTGAACCTATGTAAGGGAAGCCATGTACGGGCCACCAGTGTTTATTTAAAAGAAGAAAAATTACCACAACAAGAGTGCACAGTATTAAATTAGAGGGGCAAAGGTTTAAAAATAATATCAAGAAGCATTACTTTACTAAGAGGGCTAAGAGGGTAGTGGATGCATGGAATACCCTTCCAGCTGAAGTGGCAGAGGTTAACACAGTAAAGGAGTTTAAGCATGCGTCGGATATGCATAAGACTATCCTAACTATAAGATAAGGCCAGGGACTAGCAAAAGTATTTAAAAATTGGGCAGACTACATGAGCTGAATGGTTCTTATCTGCTGACACATTCTATGTTTCTATGTAAGGGCCAGAGAGGGGGAGATTAAATGCTGGATGTAGCTTATCAAATGAAGATCTAAATGAGGACATGTGCTCTCTATCCTCAAGTCACTATCTGGAGAGTGAGGGCAAAGCTGGGGGTTTCTGCTGAAAAAGCAATAAATTATTGGGGACATGAGCTCAGAGACCCTGGAGACAATATTAAGTGCCAGAATCAGGTAATAAGATGCACATTTCCGTTTCCTGTCATTGATAACAAGGATTTTAAAATGATATACCCAGGTAAACATTATGTTGTTCAACTGCAGAAGGTCAGTGATGGACTTCCATTCGCATCTGCATTGCAAAATGATAGGGGACAAATCCTGGAAGACTGATAGCTCTTTTTCTTGGAAAACAATAGGAAATAAATCTTGACTGTAAATAGCTTTTGTTTGTCTAAAGGAAATGTAAGCATATGATGAAATTCCACAGAGTTTAGGTGTCTGTTCTGCAGGCCTGGAGAGAAATGCATTAAATAGTGCTTCCACAATTTGTCTGGTGTCTCTAGCAGCAAAGGCCTAAGAAACAACTTTGTGAAGATCAGAGTCTCTTGTACAATCCCTGGAAAGTCTGGAGCTTATTACAGCGTGATCTGTTAGAAAGATCTTCAAAGATTGCACAATTCTTTCCAATCAA